GACAGGAAAGTTCTTAGTCGTGGGAGCTCTAATAAATACAAAATACAACTAGCCTATTTAAATTTGCCAAAATAAAAAACATCCCTTCCCAGTGCTTAAAGAATTATCTGACTTGCTTCCCCCTTTTTTGCACCACCCCTTCTCTCTCATAAATAACGAACAGCCCCTAAATGAAGCACTGTTGGCATGAATGCAGTTCACCCACTAGGAAATAATTAAGATAAATAATCTCTCGCCGGCAGATTAATTACAGCCTGTCTGCATTATTGATTTGATGCAAGTGAGCGGAGTTAGCCTCAGCTTTATTCTTCCTCCACTTTAAGGAATCAGGGCTGCTGCTATCAGCTGATGGATGTCACACTGGGCTTCATGAGAGACATTACAGCTGAGGAAACAGAAACCTGCACTACTTTTAATTGCACGTCTCTTGAAGTGGCCTTAGTATAAACGTGCAGCCTTTTAACCCTTCGACACCTGAGCAAATTGGCTTGATTTCTTTTGAAAACATTGGAAGAAGGAAATACGCAACAAAAGACGAAATGACTCAAATATTAATAATTAGTTGTTTGTTTTTAAAGAAAGGTAAAAAAATAAAATAAAATAAAGAAATTACCTGGAAAAAGTGCTTAAAATTATAATAGTTATGTAACATAATTTTGAAATGTATTATTATTATTATAAATGTAGTTTTCACTATTTTTAATTCTTTTTTTAATCATTTTCAGAATATTTTTTTAAATTTTTATTTATTTATTTATTTTATTTCTGTTATTTTTTGCAATTTGTGGGACGTTTCTTACCAAGTTGCACATTGCCTTTTCCCCATGTTTTTGATGCAAATCGCACCAAATAGCTGCTCAAGATTTAAGTTTTTGCAAAAGGCAGCACAAGAAAAGTGATGTTTCGAAGGCTTAATGGAAGAAGCCCCTGAAACTACGTTTTAAATCCCATGTATGAGTATTTATGATTCAAGCTGCTTCGTAGGCATTAGCTGTTAAATTATATTTTGGCGTATTAACTCGTTAATATCAGTGTCACCGTGTTGGTCTTATCTGGACCACAGACTGTGTCAGAGTCCTCACACAGCTTCAGTCCACCTCTGTGTTAATGTGACGGAGAGGAGCGGACATGTTTACAACACAGAGCTCCGCCTACTGACACACACACACACACACACACACACACACAGATGTGAGAGCTGCTGTCGGGAGCAGAAATTAATTTTATCCCACCTAATCGACCCCTCGTGTCCTGAGAGGCCGCTCCGTCTCTGTCGGCCGCCGGTTACTTTACGGTGTTTCCAGGCAGAGTTCCGTGTGCGACGTGTCGGCGGAGTCCGAAGATCCTGTAACTGTGAGAGGAGGGATCACTCCGCTCCTTATTTCACACCAGCTTCAATATGGCGCTGTGATGGACAAGGGGGCGGGATTCTATGCACATAAACAAAATGCAGACACCAAAGCAAAAAAACAACAACGTATTATTATTTATCACGAAAAAAATCGCCTTTTTACTTTTGGCTCATGGAGATGTCCTCTGTTGTGTTGGCTCTGTGACATCAGCCATTGTCTTTATGTCAGTAACGTGTCCCCACATTGTCTTATAAATAGTCCATCATGTTAGACTAACAAACACACCCATGCTAACTGCTAACGCTACTCAGCTTTGTGAATCTTCTTCTTCGTCTCCTTTTACAGCAGTTGTTTGTTTGGGTGTTTTGCAGTGTGCCAGTAAACACAAACAAGAAGACGAAGAAGGAAAACCTCACTTGGATTGGTCGAGAAGATGCAGTGAGGACATGCTACACTACTTAGGTAGAGCACCTTGTGATTGAGTCGACTTTTTCATGGAACAGTTCAATGGTTTGATTATTTATTACCCAACACGGAGGCAGGTTCATAAAATCCCCCGGCCACCGGGTGCTAATGTCCAACCCTGATGAGAAGCAGTGGTTAGATGGTTCCTATAGAAAGGCTGCAGGACGCTTCACCAGTAGGCCAAAACCAACCAATAGTCCTCCTTATGTCGAAACTGTTTTCTCTGACAAAACCGAAACATAAAGCCAGAAAACACTTGTAGTAAATCATAAATCTCCCCTCTGTTTCAAATGTCTAAGTAAATATAGACTCCTATCTGTTGAAAACCTCTAACCAGTCACACAGTATGTGTCTGACATCATAAACCTGCGTCAATGTTTCACCAGTTTAAATTCACTGGTTGGATCCAGCAGATAAAGCCGATAGATGTTGAATGTGAGCGGATAAAAACAGGGAGGAGTGAGACCTCCTGCTGAGCCTGGATGCTCTCTGTGTCCTCCTCTGCTCTGGTTCGTCCCCACCCGCAACCTGCTGCAGTGACGTCACACAGGTGGCGAGCTAATGGCAGTGTCAACAAACAAGACGTCACACTGAGCGGCCGACGCGATTGGCTCAGAGCGCAGAGCCCGGCGCTGCACGCGGGGAGAGGAGGAGGACAGCCGCGCGTGCAGTTGCTATGCAGGTTAGAGAGGAGGGAAGACAGCTGAGGGACTTAAGTCCTTTTCTATGCACACACGCACACACACACGCACGCACACACACACGCTGAGCATCTGGACTGAAAACATGAGGTTGTGAAGCAGCTGGAAAAATGTGGAGACAAATGTGAGGCTGTGACAGCAGACAGGGGAAACTGTGGAACACAGAGTGAAGCTACACATGATATTTGTGACAGGTCATAACCTACAGATACAAACACATGTTTATACTGTTCATTATTAAATATGAATCATGCATATAAAATCCCCATCATCCACTACTGTTTGTGATTAAGTAACTTCTTACATAATATTGTAATATAATAATATTATTCTAATAATATTCTAATACATAACTTCTTCTTACATAAATATTATTTAGAATCAGAATCAGAATCAGAAATACTTGAGGTACTTTCCCTGAGGGGAAATTATTTATGTTACAAGTGCTCCTTGCAAGAGAGGAAAGATACGTGAAAATATAAGAAATTTAAACAGTAGTATTAACAAATATATAGTTAAATAAACAGGAATTATTAACAAACATAAACGTAAATATATATATATATATATATATATATATATATATACATATATATATTGTAAACTGAACAAGATTATTTACACAAACAGAATATATACAGTCAGGGTGAATGGGGTTATTGCACAAGTTAAATTAAATTATTGCAGTGTGTGAAAAAGTCTCAGGGCCACTCAGAGGGAGGGGTATTTAAAACATGAATATTAAGCTATTTAAAAGTGATAAAGACTACTTATTTACACACAGTCACACCAAAAACCTATTCACAATCTGAGAGTCGCAGCACTGAGACAGGTAAGCAAAGGAACAAACTACATTGTCATTATAAAAATGTGCACAGTGTGTGAGGTATTAGAACTCATTAGTTATTATCTTATATTAGTTAGCCCACATCTCTTCAACTGTGAAGTTATTTTTATTTTATTTTTTCTCTATTGTTATTAGACTGTGAATGTATTGGTTGTTTATATCTCTCATATTTTTATTTATTTATTTTTTCTTTTACTCTGATCAAATTTTTTCTTTGTAATGAATTGTAAAAAAGCAAATAAGCTGTATATGAAAATGGGCTTGAAAATGTTTGTTTTTTTTCAAATAAGAAAGTGTAATAATAGTTTTTTAATATTATTAAGATAGCCCAATGAAGAAAATTAGGATTTGGTTTCTTATTTATAAACGCCCATATTCATCTCCCTAAAGACCTATTCACAAAATTCAAATAATTTTTTCCTTGTTTTCTTGTGATAACGATATATTATTTATCTTGTTATAATGTGAAACATTTCATGTTATAACAACAAACTACTTATCTTGTTATGATACGACATGCTTTATGTTTTATGGCATAGCACGTTTTGTACAAGAAAAGTTTATTGTTCTAATAAAATATATTTTTAGTGCTAATAAATGATACTGATCTTATTTTTTATATTTTTATTATTTCCTCACTATATAATGATGAAAACTCTGTGTGTGTTCCATGTTTTTCTCCTCACTGACTTGGTCAATCCATGTGAATTTTGGCACAGTGGTAGAGGGTCATGGGAGGATGCCAATGAAGCAATATTACATCAATTGGCCAAAGGGGGGCGCTATAGCAACCCATTGAAATGTCAAACTTTGAATGGGCATATCTCATGCCCCGTATGTCGTAGAGACATGAAACTTTGCACAGAGATGCCTCTCCTCATGAGGAACACATTTGCCTCAAGAACCCATAACTTCCGCTTATATAGATTTTCCGCCATTTTGAATTTTTTGAAAAACACATCAAATGGATCTCTTCCTAGGAAGTTTGAGCGATCTGCATGAAACTGGGTGAACATAATCTAGGGACCAATATCTAAAGTTCCCTCTTGGCAAAAGTTGGAAAACTTACTAAAACTGAGCTTCTATAAGGCAATGAATATTGCGGAGGGCGTGGCTCATCACATAAAGGTGTATAACATCTCAAGGGTTTCACCCATCACCACGCAACTTTGTAGGCATATGACCACACATAATCTGAGGGGACCCCTCCATTATTGACCCCATCAAACAAAATGGGGGCGCTAGAGAGCTCATTTCTTTCTTTAATTTCTTATATATTTTTTGTCTATATTTGACAGGACAGTGAAGCATGACAGAAGGATGGGAGAGAGAGAGCAAGTAAGACATGCAGCAAAGAACAAAGGCTGGATTCCAACCCACACAGCTGCAATAAGGGCTAGCTGCACCTTTCCCATGTGAACTACCAGTGCGCCCCACTTTTAAGTCAATACAACATATAAACCCTTTAACTATCTGCCTTTCAACGTGCTACCTCAACTACTAATGTACAGTTTTAGCCCACTATTGGCAATGGTACTACTGTACTTTCAATAAAGCAATCGTACTATCAAATTCACAAACACTCTGTCTGAATACATTGCTCTTCTTAATGGGTTCAGTTGACTATTTAATCTGCAACTTCCTATGACCTGTATCCCAAACACACACCATGTGAAACTGTTTGTGGGCACCTGTGCACTCAATGGGTATGGACTAGTTATTATTAGGTTTTTGTTTTGTTTGGGCTTTTTTTCCATCTGGCTTGGCAGTTGTACTTTTCCATATTACAAAGAAAAAGTAAAGTAAAAAAGAAAAGAAGTAAAGAATAGACAGGAGTACTGTGTACACAAGCATGTGGGGAGAAGGTGAAGGCTGAATATTAAAAACTGAACAACAGCATAAGCAAAGAAATTATTATTATTATTATTATTATTATTATTATTGTTATTATTCATTCTTCGTTGCTTTTAAATTCATTATAAACTCTGTGGCTTACAGACACAGTGCTGTGTGGTTTCCCTCTGAACTCTTCACTGTGACCTGATTGGTGATATAACGCACGGTACGTTTACGTCATCGCGTTGACCCCCCGAGGCGGAAGTGAACACGTGTGGTCGAAGGGAATCACCACGCATGTTGGGAGGCCACGAGCTGTACCCAGGTAACTTTACCTCCTTTACACTGAATATCAGGAGCCATTTAAAAACGACCATCAGTGTGTTTTGTGTCGAAGCTGCCTGTGGAGGAAACGTTTTCATTTCCGGCTGCTGAGCGGTAAACTTCTGAGAGCTAGCTAACGTTAGCCGGTTAGCTTCGGTAGGAGCTGCTGAACTGTCACAGCCGCTCAGCTCGTAAATGATTTGATGAACAGACTCAGTGTGTGATGTGATCAGCAGCAGCTCGTGAGTGTGATCAAAGACCAGTGTTTTAAAGACTCCGTGCTGTTTCAGGATCCGAAGTTAACCCTCCTCCTCATCACCATCATCATCATCATCATCATGGCTGTGAGAGCATCGTTTGAGAAAAACAACGAGATCGGCTGCTTCGCCAAACTCACCAACACATACTGTCTGGTGGCTGTCGCCGGCTCGGAGAACTTCTACAGGTGAAGTGTTGCCTTTTAATACACGTGGCACTGAAGTTTAATGGAGTTTAAACGTGTGTGTGTGTGTGTGTGTGTGTGTGTGTGTGTGTTAGCTTGGTTCAGTCTGTTTGTGTAGCACTGAGGCTAAATTAGCTTCTGCTGCTGTGATCGGACCTGAACCTCCGTGGCTGATGTCATCACAGGGTAATCTCTGACTTTATGTAAGATGAGGTGTGTCATCTTAATGACAAAGGTTTCTCTTTAATACTTAATATAACAACACAGTGTGATACAACTGCAGGTATAAAACCAGAACACAATAATGCACGAGAACTGAAAACATCAACTGCAAACAGGATGTCTGCAGGTCTCTAAAAAGTCTTAAAGTTTCTTAATATAAGGCCTCTAAAAGTCTTAAATATTGTCGGTCACATTACAGCGAGTGTCTCCATCCTGACAGACCCAGCGACTGTTTACAGACACAATGGATTACAATAATAAATAGCAATAGAATGGATTTTGTTTTCTTCTTAAATTAAACACATTAAACTTGAACTCACCCAATTCTTGTCACTTTTCCTTTCTGTTCATTTCCTTTTTCCACACACAACATACGTACCAGATAGAACATGATTCCATACATTTAATTATTTGTTGGGATCCTCTTTGAAATTCATGCAGAATTTATACTTCTGCGTTGAATTAGCACCATATCTATGGTGTAGGCTCTGCGTCTATGTAGTGTGCCCTACGCTGTAGCCTGACGTGCACCTCCCCAGAAATGTCACTACATGTGGCAGCGACACAGACCTCCTGTCTCTGTAAGCTGAAACCATTTCCCTCAGTGGAAACAAAGCTTTGATTTACTTTAATTTCACAGATAAGAAACAATAAATTGTGAAGACAATAAAGCCTCCACTAAAATAGCATTTTAAGTCTTGTGTGTGATTTATCCTGGCTTCATATGAGCAGAGGAAATCTCCACTCATCGCTAGGCTAATTTATACAATGTAAAAGGCCATAGGCTTGTGCTAATAACGTTAGCATGTTGTATTAGTTTGGAAAACGTGTTTAGTATAAGACAGTTGTTTTGTCAGTGAACCTTGTGAGTTGTAATGGAGCTGAATTTTGTAACGTTACCTTTGTTAAATGTTGCTGTTGTCCCTGGTTTAATATGAGGAGAGGAAAAGTCTGCTAGCTGCTGGGCTAATAAATACAATGTAAAATGCCATAGGCTTTTGCTAATAACGTTAGCACGTTGTATTTGTGGGGAATATGTGTCCATATAAAGACAAGTGTTTGTCTGTGAATGCTGCGAGTTATAGTGAAGCTGATTTGTGTTTGAAATTGTCTCTATTAATCCATGTTTAATGTGTGTTTAATGTGTGTTTAACGTGTGTTTTGAATCAACTAAACTTTACAGCACTTCACAGAAACCCCACCACCAACTAGTGTTTTGCAGGTGTAACTGCAGAGTGACACAGACACACCAGCGCACAAGTATAAATGCTCACAATGGAGTCGGCCACATGTGCAGTTTATGACTAAGTATAAACCCCCTTCAGCACGTTAGTGATCCAGCATGAAACCCTCTGTTAAATGTAACCAATGTTTTGAACTGACTCATGCTGCTCAAGAAGCATCGTCCCATCAGCAGTTTAGTCAAACAAAAGTCAAACAAGTTGTGAGAAGATTTTTTGTAAATGGCTCCGTTGTCTTTTGGATGAGTTGTGTATCGACAGCTGGCTCAGGAACGAACAGCCAGTCCAGTTCATCGCTGGTCGGTTTCCATGCAGAGCTGAAAGTAGTGACAGGCTGTTGTTTGTGTGACTGCAGTGTGTTCGAGGGGGAACTGTCAGAAACCATCCCAGTGGTTCACGCTTCCATAGCAGGCTGTCGCATCATAGGGAGGATGTGTGTGGGTGAGTAACAATCTGGACCACACACACACACACACACACACACACACACACACACACACACACACACACACAATCACACACACTTCTTAGGTCTGTTTCCTCTTTCATCTGGCTGCTGGAAGTCTTTATAGCACATTGATCCTTTACAACAACACCTTTCTTTCTTTCATCCTGTGATTTTGATCTTTCTTTGTTTTTCCTCACTTTTTCCCGGTTTTAAAACACATTGGCCGCACTCCTCTTTTCTTCTCTTCCCATCAACACAACGGCTCAAACAGAAACACAAGCCAAATCTTTGGAAACTGTTTGTACTTAATTTATTCCAGTCAGCCTCTTGAGGCATGTCATCTTAAAGAAACCCACCGACACAGACACGTCAGTGTTCCTGATCACTTTCTGTCTGTGCTGTCATCAGGAAACCGTCACGGTCTTTTGGTGCCCAACAGCACGACAGATCAGGAGCTGCAGCACATCAGAAACAGTCTGCCAGATACAGTGAGGATCCAGAGAGTCGAGGAGAGGCTGTCTGCTCTCGGTAACGTCGTCGCCTGCAACGACTACGTAGCGCTGGTCCATCCCGACCTCGACAGGGTGAGTGACAAACACACACACACTGACAGTTGTACCTGAAGAGACGTTCATAATGACTGACCGTGTAACAATAATGACATGATAACAATATTGTGGAGTTGACTAGTGGTGCTTTCACAAAACTCTGACACAGTGACAAAGGCCCTGATCACACAGGAAGCTTTTTGGAATTGTTATTAATGAGAATGAAGTTTTTTTCTTGCTGTTTTTGCAACAAGGTGCCTGGCGGGTTTTTTTTCCCAGAGCGCCCTGAGCTCGTCAGGTTGTAAAAACTTGAACTCAGAGTGAAAAAGCGCTCACGTCATCTCCACTTTTTTCCCCATTGTCCAATACGACGATTTGAGAGGCGGGCCTTCTGTGGTGGTCACGACAACACCTGTGCATTCCAATACTCATATTACCATACTATATAGCATGCTAGAGAGAGATGCTGTATGTCCCAATACAGAGCATGTCAAATGCAGTACGCTAAAAATACCAGGATGTTCTACATCCGGTCCAATTTTGCAGTTTGTAAGTCAGCGTGCTTTTCTGGCTCCTCTGACCCACAATATGTTACGATATGTCACATAAACTGAGCCTCAAACAGATGACAGTGACAATAATTTACCATCTCTGTTAAATGGTGGCTGATCTCGTCCTCTGCTCGGAGGGTAAGGAGCTCCCTGACCTCATTGTTTCTTCAATTTTCAGCTGCTGTTCTTTTCTGAGTTAGCTGCTAACTGCTGTTAGCTGCTTTTAAAATGTCTTGCAGTTGGGGCGTTGGTGGCTTAGTGGATAGAGCAGGCGCCCCATGTACAAGGCTGTTGCAGCAGCGGCCCAGGTTCGACTCCAGCCTGTGGCCCTTTGCTGCATGTCATTACCCCTCTCTCTCTCTCCCCCCTTCATGCTTAGCTGTCCTATCTCTAAAGGCAAAAATGCCCAAAAAAATCTTTAAAAAAAAGTCTTGTGGTGGGTCGCACACATACCGTGTCATCAAAACGTCACACCTGTCCCATCAATGGTCCCATCCTGCCAGCTGTCCCTTTTACACAGACGGTCATTTTGGTGCTGTTACTACCTCCAGTGCCCTCTTAGAGGCGAGACAACTCCGCCCCTCGGTTCTGTGGTTGTACCTTTTTATACAGACGAGTCAGACTAAAGACTGGAAACACCTGCCTTGAAGCGGTGGTGTCAATGAGGCTACAGACTGAGAGAAGTCCATTTGGGTTCTAGTAAACTGTGATTTCTTTGATAACCTAAACTGTTCGTGGCCGAGTCAAATAAATGAATGATTGAGCTCCAGTTCAGATGCAGTTGTAATAAAAAGAAATAAACAGTAAAGCTGCAGATGATCTCTCTGTCATCAGGTGAAGTTCTGTGTAATTTGACTCATGCTCTCCCCCCTTCATCTAGGAGACAGAGGAGATCCTTGCAGACACTCTGAAGGTGGAGGTTTTCCGTCAGACGGTCGCAGAACAGGTCCTGGTCGGCTCCTACTGCGCGTTCAGCAACCAGGGAGGCCTCGTCCACCCAAAGACGTCTATAGAAGACCAGGACGAGCTGTCGTCTCTGCTACAAGTTCCCCTCGTGGTGAGTAGGGATGGATACTGACTGAATTACGTCAGTACTACTGAGAACTGTTTCACATTAAATAATCCACAGTATCTGAGAGCACATGTGGGTGAGAACGCCAGGTTCAGTCAGGAGGTGGAGGCACTGCGTAGTTGGTCAGGTAAACCCTCTCTCTAACCCTAACCCTAACCACTGAGGGACAAGAGGGAAACACTGTCTGATGGGGGAACAGACTTTGATACAACACTGGCAATGGAGCTCTGTGGAGCCGCCACAGTGCCCTGAATCTGGGAGGCTGACCCTGGAGCTCCATGGCGAGTAGAAACTATCACAGCAGGGCCCAAGCCCAGTGATGATTGATGGGTAGAGGAGGTTAACTGAGCCGAGTTATCTGTGCTATTTAGATTGTATCTGTCGTTCAGTGTGAGGCTGTGAAACCAGCAGATAAATGTGACCCATGACAGGAGATGTAAAAAGACACTGTTAGCAGTTAGCAGCTAACTCTAAGACAAAATACAGTGGCAGTAAATGTCTGCATAGTGGGAAAACAATAAGGTGCAGGAGCTCCTTACTCTCTGAGCAGAGGACGAGATCAGCCGCCATATAACAGGGACAGGAAGTGATTGGTACTGTCACATTAATGCCGTTGTTGTTTTTTATAAAGTGCCGTCGACGTGTATGTTTTATGTTTATTTAAAGAAAAGGAGGCATAAAGAAGGGACTTTGTAGCGGCTCTGTGAGTCAGATTCACCCTTCGCTCCTCTACACCTCCAGCCTCGCGTCCAAATATGGTCACATCTGTCCCCAAAAAACCAAGATGGTGACAGCTGAAATCCCGAACTTGAGGCTTCAAAACACTAACTTTTCTTTGCAGTTTTTTAAAGCGAATTAGTCTCGTCGTGAATCTTTGGTCTGAACTTGGCATTAAAGGTTTCCACGTTATGTGGAAGCTCAGAGAGGTGTGATCCCATCCATATATGGTCACTTGTGGCTCCAAAAAACCAAGATGGCGGCGGAAATGCAGAACTCGAGGCTTCAAAATGGGAGTGTATAAAACCAATGGGTGACGTCACGTTGGCTACATCTATTATTTTGTACAGTCTGTGGTCCCTCACAGCTGTGAATGGTCGTGGTGAATGAAAGTGCTCGTGGTGCTTGTAGTTGATTGGTTGTGAATGCTGAAGCAGAACAACATCACAGAGCAACCTTAGAGACGGCGTCATGGAGTCCTGAGATAAAGATCAGTTCTGCACAGACGGGAGACGGCACATGTTCTCTATCCATCAACAGTAGAAGCTAAGAGTTTATTCTGTGAGACTGAGTGAAATTTTGCCCCCAACTTCCTGTTCAGGCCGGCACGGTGAACAGAGGCAGTGAGGTGATCGCGGCGGGGATGGTGGTCAACGACTGGTGCGCGTTCTGCGGCCTGGACACCACCAGCACCGAGCTGTCGGTCATCGAGAGCGTCTTCAGACTCAGCGACTCAGCACAGCCCTCCGCCATCGCCACCAGCATGAGAGACTCGCTCATCGACAGGTGACTAACACACACATCATCATCATCATCATCATCATCATCTTCACTCCAGTGTACGAGCTGTAAACATTATCTCACATATTCAGCTGAAGGAGTTCGTTTAATGAACTCAGAGTTAATTCGTAACAACCCAGATTTGATTTGACCCACATCTTACTGCTGAAATGATTGTAACACGCATCCTTCGCAACACGTGTGGGACAGACTGACTCATTAACACTCTCATCACACACAGCTCCTCACTTACACGCCAACACACACACACTGTATAAAATTACCGTCTGAGATGCTTTTCATCTTTCTCACAGCCTGAATAAGGTGTTTCTGCAGTTGTGTGATAGATACACACACACACACATACACACACACTGGCTACCATCTGTTCATTTCGTAACTGCTCAGCGCTAGCAGCGTAGTTTAACTTAATTTGTGTCAGTACTACAGTAATGTTGCGTCACACTGGACGTCTCCTGGACGCCACATTTGTTGTTTCTGCAAGTTTACTGAAGAGGATTTTTTTATTGATTATAAAATTAGAGGTAAGACATTTATTGTCTGGTAGATGTATTCTTCCTCCTCCTCTTCTTCTTCTTAATCATGATGCTACAGCTGGTTAGCTTAGCTCAGCATAAAGACTGCAAACAGCCAGCCTGGCTCTGTCCAAAAGTATTCCACCATCCAGCACCTCTAAAGCTCACTGAGGAACATCCAGTCACATCCAGTTTGTTTATTCTGTGAGGAACCCTCAAAGATTTATCACCTGACTCAGCATATTTTCAGTTTTGGTTTTGATGTTCATGTGAATAAGAATCCAGCATCGGTGTATCGTCTGCCTCCCTGCACTCTCTGTGAAATTGATTCATTTTGAAGGACAGTTCATCTCCCAGTTTCCTCCCTACCCCTGATGTCCTAATTTGTTTGCCCCCTCAGTGCGGTTTGTTTGTGCAGGTGTGAACACACCAAAACAACCGTATCGAGACGTTCTTGAAGAGGTGGTCTCAGTCCGGTTCCAAAGGAGCTCTGGTGCGGTTGGTTTGTGGTGAGAAGGTGTTCTGACCTGGATGTGAAGCAACTGCAGTCACATGACACATTGTTTGGGTTAAACATGAGCATGTTACAGTCCTGGAGGATTATTAATGTGCACCTCCTCCTGTACTGCCTTAATATGCACATTCAGCACATCCAATGCATCAAAACATTGTTTTCTAGTTGGAGCCGCGCCTCGTTTTCAAACTGTATGTTTTGACTAAAATGAACAATGACAGCAATATAGTCCACGATGAGCAGCGCTAAAATCAACCTGCGTAGTTTTCCCTCCATTGTGACATTATAAAGTGTCACATTTATCTTGCAAGTGTACTCTTCTTCAACGTTTGCTTTACTTCCTGGATTTTTCCCACATGGAAATTCTGACCAATCAAGAGCAGCTTTCTCACACAAGGCATTTGATCTGGTCCGCTTGTAAATGCTGCCGTGAGAACACCAACCAACTCTAGGCAATTATACAACTTTGGAACAACATGAGTCCCTGATTCGGACCAAAGGAGACCACTCTAGGTCAGACAGCAGCGTCACAGTAGGAACAGTGAGCTGTTAAATGTTGCTGCCCTGTGATCTCAACCATCCTCTCTCCTCTGCTCTGTTTCCATTAGCATGGCGTAAGTCACCTCTGCTGTCTTCACCGGTGAAGAGCTCCGCTGTGATTCACCTGGTCTCACATGAAGACAAGAAGCTGCTGGACCTCATTTCTCGACCTAAGAACACCTCCTCCGTCACAGTACACTTCACTGTCACACCTGCCGACATATTACAGTCATCATTTGTACCTTTTTTAAGAATTTAATCTTTCTAACTCTGAAAAGAAACATCCACCGACTCTCCTCTGATGTCGACTGCGACGGGTGGAGACGTGTGATGGTAGTTTGTTATTACTGTGCAGAAATATTGAAACAAGGCTGAGTTACACCCAAGTTAAGGAATCAGATATTTCAGCCTTTGTGGCACTGATTTGAATTTATTTTAACCTAACAGGGAGAAATTACATTTAATGTTTTCTCCCTGCTTAGTTAGATTAAAGTGGCCGAGGCTGTGATAAAATGAATTAAAAAATGTACTTAATTTCTGTGCCTGCATCATGAAAAAGTCACCATTAGAAAACAACTGAACTCTGAAGTAGCAGCCGTTTGTTCTGCATGTTATTCTGAAACCTTAACTGGGAGACAGTTGATTGCTTTTCACTTAAAGTCAGCCAGGAAACTGGTTTTGGTTTCTCACTGTGTCTCCTGCAGCTGTAAAGGATTCCCATCAACACACCTCACACCACCAACTGTATCACCAACATGTTTCTGATGCTTGAAGAATGTAAGTCACGGTTTCATCTGTCCATTTAAGTGTAGAAGGCAAAGATGAGACACTAATTTAAAAGTGAGGACGTTATTGAAGGTTTTAGAGTGATGCTTCGTCTGAATGTGCGCTTCATCTTTTAAGGTCTGAAATCACTTGATTCTATAGTTTAGTCCGACAAACTGGTAACGCACAGCATGCAGTATGGAACACAGGTGGAGTGTGATGTGTCCGTGTTCTGGTTTGTAATGCTGACACAGGAAAAAAAGATGCAACGCATGTTTCCGTCAGACTGTATGAAATGAGATTCAGATACAAACTGCACCAGGTGTGACATTTCTTACTTGAGTCTTTGTGTAACAAATCAAAACCTGGTGAAGTGTAAACATGGTTGATATTTCTGAACGAACAGTCTCGTCTGTCTGTAAAATAAAATAAATCGCCCTCTTTTTATCTGTTTGTGTTCTTTTGTGTCACAGTGGGGTCAGAGTCAGGGGCCATACTGAGACACTCAGAGAGCTTCTAACTTAAACTAAAAGTTTTCAGTAAGGAGTCCAAGCTTTAGAGTGATTTCAGAAAGTTCTTCGGTGTGTGTGATGCATTCTTTTAACAGATGTGATTGGTTGTCCTTGAGTGAGCCTGTAAAGTGTGAGGACACCCAGTGGACATGAGATGGACTGTGACAGTGTTGTGATCATTTTATTTCTGGCGTTAAAGCGTTTGGTGGGAGATGTGTGCGAGTGATCACAAATATTCTCCCTGCACGATCTCATCTGTTGCATTTCATTAACTCACTGTCATGCAGTGTTTGGAGTATATTTCTCTGACCTTTTTGTGTTTCCACCATTTTCTCTTCTGAACCTGAAACCTCTTAAAGTCCTCCTCCCTGCTCCTAACAGTCACCTTATGAGCTCTTTTAAGGTCTGAGATGTTCTGTGAATACTGTTTATCTTTACAAGGACCGAATGTAGTCTTAACTTTAAGGAGGAACTCTAAGAAAACGTCACATTTCTAAGAATTTTATTAGATTTTCGTTACTATGGGAAACTCTTAGCACTAGGCCCCAGATCAGATCAGAAGGACGGCAGTAGCTCTCTCACTATGGACTTGACTTGGGAACCAGAGAGTTGCTGGTGTCTCCCTACAGACCAAATATGGGGCTTGGACTGGTAGCTGGAGAGGTGCCAGTTTGAAGTTTGCTTTGGGGATTAAAAAGTGTATTTTCTTAGAATGGATTGCAGCTTACAGATGTTGCAGTGCTTAAGGTTGTTAAATATTGTCAATAATGTGTGGAGACAATGTTGGAAAGTAACTGAGTACATTTACTAAAGTACTGTAATTAAGTTTTTCCATGTTATGCTCTTCTTTCAACTACATCTCAGGAGATACCGTACTTTTAATCATTTTATCAGAGGTGGAGGCAGCACTAACCTGAAATCATAATATCAAGTAAAAATGTTTTGTTTAAAAATAAAACAAGAAAAACTAACATGAAACATGTTTACATTCATGTATTGATTCTTTACTAAACTAAAGGCTCTGGAAACTTTATCCACCACATCCTAGAGCCTGCACTAATGTCTGCTGGTCTCTAGTGTCATCTACTGGTACATTGGAGACATAATTTAACCAACCAGTAATTTGGACCAACGCGTCCAACCTTGAAGCAGATGGGCTACAGCAGCAGAAGACCACACCAGGTGCCACTCCTGTCAGCTAACAACAGGAAACTGAGGCTACAATTCACACGGGTTTTCTCACCAAAACAGGACAATAGAAGATTGGAAAAACCACATTCAGATGGAAGCATGGATCCATCCTGCCTTGTATCAACGCTTCAGGCTGCTGCTGGTGGTGTAATGGTGTGGGGGAGATTTTCTTAGTACCAACTGAGCATGGTTTAAACACCACAGCCTACCTGAGTATTGTTGCTGAGCGTGTCCATCCCTTTATGACCACAGTGTACCCATCTTCTGATGGCTACTTCCAGCAGGATAACGCACCATGTCACAAAGCTCACATCATCTCAAACATGACAATGAGTTCACTGTACTCCATTGGCCTCCACAGTCACCAGATCTCAGTCCAATAGAGCACCTTTGGGATGTGCTGGAACGGGAGATTCTCATCATGGATCAACTGTGTGATGTCATCATGTCAATATGGACCAACATCTCTGAGGAATGTTTCCAGCACCTTGTTGAGTCTGTGCCACCAAGAATTAAAAAGGGTCCAACCTGGTACTAGAAAGGTGTACCTAATAAAGTGGCTGGTGAGCATATGAAGCGCCTTAACTGCCTCATCAGTGCAAAACAGGAAAAAAGGCAAGAATAAATATTTTAAAGGCAACTTTTTTATTTATTGGCAAATGCTTTGAATAAGGTTGTAGCAATGCGTCTATATACACCCCTCCAAATAGTGACCATGTCAGAAAGCCTAAAGAAAAACACACTTTGTAATACAGCTCGATTATATGATCGTTTATACGCACACATTTTTGTTTGTTTGTTTGTTTCAAACATACACATACACTTATTTTCAGTTTTTGGTTTGGGAAACATCTAAAAAGACTTTTTCTATATTAAACAATACAATTATATCTATCGCGTAAAATCAATATACATTTATAAAAAAAAAAGTCAGAACATGCAAGGTCTGTAGTGCATCACAACCTTCTGTCTATAAAGTCTCATTAAACAAAGGCAGACAGACGAACATACAGGTAGAGAGCAGCAGTGCTCTGGAGAAGAGGAGCAGATACAAAAAGAAGAGATAATTGTTATATAGATACAGTAATTCCTAAAAAAATTCTATGCCAACTCTTTTTTATATTCGTATTAATTTATGTGCAAAAGAAGCTCATTCATTTCCGACATTAAATACATTTTATTATGTCTAATGCTTGAGTCTATGCTACCATGACACACGTGGTGTTCTTACAAGCTGTGTAACACGAGGCCGTGAGGGGACGCCGCCCTCGCAGGGGGAGACGTGATATCAAAGCGAGGCCTTATTTCACCTCGCCTCAGCTGAAAAGCTTTACTGGGATTTGATGACCTGCTGCCGAGGACGGGGCTGCGTCAGCTCTGCTCAGTATACAAAATGCAGTCGTTTTATTGGCGCTTCGCCGTCTGCGCTTGCCAGACAGAAATAAAACGGAAATAAAAATCACAGTGTGTTAAGACCAAAACATCATGTAATCCTCCCCGTGTGGAGACGGCGTCCCCTCCTGTGCTGCTGATCCAAACCAACAGTGTCAGTTTCAAGCGAGATAATTGCTCGTCTCCAAATATTGTCAGATTTAATATTCATCATGTTTTCTTTTGAGCACAATCCCTCTGAACCAAAAGTAAGCATCTAACTTCACGACTGTTGGGGCGGTGCACGTCTCATGTTTGCACAGACTAAAATCTACTGGATAGGCCTTTGAATCTGCTTCACCTGACTGGCTGTTTATGATGTTAAATGTGTGTGTGGTTAAATGACGAGGGGGGCGGGGTCTTGTGCAGGAAGACAGGTGAGTAGTGATGCTCTGGGTTTGTTGTGCTTACGGGGCAAAAACACATTAACTCCAGTGTGTTAGTTAACGTGCTGTTGACCTTGCTGACAGGACGTAGCAGCGTGTGATGCTAACTTCTCTTCTGACCGACCTGTTAGTTACATGACAGTAGCGTTGTAGTGTTGCGTTACCTGACATCACTGCTTGTGTCATTTAAAGTGTGTGACCCTGCGAGGGCGTGAGAGGGGATAAATATTGCACGTGTAAAATGCTAATAATTTATTACAGTCTTTTTTTTTTTTTTAGCCTGATTGTCAGCTACTCGGTAGCCAGTGGCGAGTTGGCAAGTTGAGCTTCAGGCTGACGGTACATGTATGATTCAAACAAACTAGCTACGTAACACAAACTAAACTACAGCTAAATATGTCAAACATAAGACGATAATTAAAAAACTAAAATGTGAGTTAAAAAAGTTAAAAAGGTAAAAATCACTACCGACCTATCTTCTAGTTTGTACTGCTGCTGCTGCGATGACGAGAATATAGACTGACACAGCAGACTGCTGCAGAGTTATGACCCTGGCTGTGCAGTGTTTTCACCCGGGTACATGTCAGAGGGTTTCAACTCTGAGCAGTGTCAGTGACTTCATCAACCCAGCTTCAAATTACATCCTGAACTCTGACCGGCTTGCAAGTGACTGCCTGGTTTCAAGTTTAGCTTGTCTAATACACATGTAGTTTTAAGGATGAAGAGTTTACTCGCAGATTCCAAACTCATTGGTTGGTTTGTCCCACCTTTTCAAAATAAGAGAACTCAGTCGGGGTGGGACCAAAAGAACATGAGGGAAAATCAAACTAGAAACACTTGGAGCTATCACAGGTATGATTCTAACTCTGAGGGCAGGAGAGACACACAGGATGTCCTCTGGCTTTTGTAGCTAGTGTTGTACTGACCAATATGAAGAGGGTGCTCGACTACGACAGAGAGAGGGACGAGGGGTGTCTGTACACGGACTGACGGGTGCTGCTACGTGGGCCTGCAATGCAACAAAGTGGAGAAAATCATGGAGTTTGGTGATTTCTGGTCGGTTGTGACACCATGTACCTCCTCTTTTCCCCTCACCCTCTCTCCCACCGTCCTCCCAGCACCTCAAGATGTCCCACTCTCCCTCCCCTCCCCCTCCCTAGCAGCCGAAGGTCTCCTGCGAGGCGTAGACCATGTAGAGGAAGCCGTCCTCGTCTCTCTCCTGCTCGTAGATCTCAGAGATGGGTGTGGACACTGACACCATTCTGTGCTGGTTGACCAGCAGGAAGAAGGCCTGCGTGGGGTTCAGCTGCAGCCGACGCCTGTGTGGAGGGGCTGGAAGTAATAAGAGAGAAAGGAAGAGAGAAGTTAAGGAGGTATCATTGCAAGCTAGTGTTAGAGATGTTTTAAGAACTGATAGTTTGGTACCAAGCTGATGCCAAAATTCTGAAAACACAACCATACTCTCTTGTATTGTCGCTACCGAGTATGCAACTCTTCTGGACCTGACAGGGCAGCATGTACCCCAACAAGTGCTCTAGTCAACAGCTCCACTCAAGCACCATCTTATTTTTGTGATTCTTTGCAATTGGAGCGCCCCATGTTTATTTTATTTTTGCTGGAGGGATTGAGGACTTCCTGTGAGGTAACACAACACCTTCATCCTCGTGTCTCCTCCATGCATCTCTCATATCTCTGCTGACACCCAAAGAATGAAGAGGCAAGGAGCTGCGTTAGCCAAATATAAAGCACCTTGGTACTTTGTTGGTTGAGGAAGTGACTGTGTTAGTGACATGTCTGGGAACCAGTGGCCAATGAGTGAGCAAGGACAGAGAGGTTCTGACCAATGACGGAGCAGCAGGCAGGTGCTTTAATGTGTGCAAACAACACACACACTGGTCTTTAAACTCATGTGTACACCGACAGAGGA